CAGCAACATCTGAGATGTGCATGAGACTGTTTCTCAGTCCCCTCAGCAGGAAGAATCTGCTTTGACCTTTCTGATCTAGAGCCTCAGTGCTGGGAGTCCAGTTTGTTCTTCAGGTGAACACTTAGGTACTTATTTAAGGGCTTGTTATCCTCCTGCAACAGTGTGTCACAGTTACCTTGATGCAGGTATGATGCAGATATTTTTGATTTGTGCGCAAAATATTGAAGCGTGGTCTGTGATAAGTTATTCCACACCACAACGCAAGAATCAGGATCTAGCTGTGGCACAACTGGTGGCACAACTGTGCCACCAGGGCAAAACTGTTTTCACAGAGAATGGACACAACATTCATTTCAAAGCACATTTTAATGGTTGATTTTCATGTAAAGGGGAAAGTATTTCAGTGACTCTTCTTCTTCCTGTCATTTAGAGGAGCTTTGGATTCTTCATGTGTACATGGAAACATAGATCCACTGGAAAAACAAAGCCTTCAGTTATTGCATGATTCTTCTTTCAACAATAATTTGGTTGGAAATAAAAGGTGAGAGAATCACCTCTGATTCCTGCAGAGTGATTGTTTTCCCATCAGACAGCTGCCTGAAGATTTCTGTTAAATAAAAAAAAACAGTTTAAACATTACCTTAAAGGCATTTACCATTAAGTAAACATTTCGGCTAAAATATCTTCTGATTTTCCTATTCACATCAAAATAAATTTTTGATCCTTAAAAGTGAATATTTTATTTATTCTTTCTTGGTTACTTCACTTATGGAGGTCAAAATTTTTTCCCCTGTGCAATGCATGCTGGTTAGTTAAATTACTCAGGTCTGACTGTACCTTCAGAGTAAACAAAGGAACGCTAACATTAGCACATGCTAACATTGATTGCATCCGACTGGTTTTAAGTTAGTGTCACATTGCGGTGATGTCTCAAAGGTTCATACCTGTCAAGTTTTGGATTAAAAAAATAAGGGAAAATTGTACCGCAGCAACATTCGTTCTCCTTCTCCCTTTGCTGAGCTCCAGATAGCTCCCCTTTATTCAAGTTCTTTCTCGTGTGAGCGGCCATCTGCTGAAGATGGCCGCTCACACTTGAGCCATCTGGCTGAGCCATCTGGTCACACTGAGCCTGGTTGTGCTGGAGGTTTCTTCCTGTTAAAAGGGAGTTTTTCCTCTCCACTGTCGCTACGAGCATGCTTAGTGTGAGGGATTGCAGAAGAGTCAATGAGTCGATGCAATCAGCTGGTTTTCCTTAGATAGAAAACTTTTAATCAATGTGACTGGATGATCTGGTGAACTGGAAAGTGCCTTGAGATGACATGATGTGAATTGGATCTATAGAAATAAACTGAATAGAATTGAAGACAGAGAAGACTAAATGACCAGATGGCCCGGATAAGCACTATCGACTGATTATATTTGTTAATCTTATGAAATAGAAAGTGTGTATTCCTTGATTTTACTCTTGACCTTTGTTGTGTGAATATTATTAAATATGTAAAAATGGATGAAAGCATCATTGTCCCTATATCCTATTTTAATTTTCATGGAATGTATTTAATTTTTTCTAGGAGCTGGAATTGTCCCAGATCAGAATGCAGAAATCTGGTAACCTTAGCCCAAACATCAGTTTCTTTGCCCACCTCTCTCCTCTTCCTGTTTGGTCCTCCTCATCTTCATTACCTTTTGTAATTTGTAATTGTCATCATTTTAAATATGCTCTGGTTTAAACTGAACAGTTTTAATGATACTGATTGCTGATTGGCTAATGCTACAGTAGCTGGCACATCATTTACCCAGCATTTCAGAGTAAACAACATTGCGAAATCCTTGGAACAGTATTTCAATTAAACAAAACTTGGTATTTTTATTGTAGTTTATTTACATTAAATGTAAAGTTGTCTGAAATAAAGTCTAATGTTTCTATTAATCATGGATCCCTTTAAGAAATAATCTCCAAGATTTCAGTCAGAATTAAATCAGTTTTTTAAATGTTTGTATCATCATGTTTAGTAAACTATACAGTTGTACTAAAAGTGGGTTACTTACTAAACATGCATTCAAGGCGGAGGATAAGGCTGATGAAGCTCTCCAGAGTCATGTGACCAGAGGAGGCGCCGTAACGCAGAGCCATCAGGTTCAGCATATCATCTGAGAGCCTCAGTCCTGACAAACAGGAAAACATGTCAGACTACAGAAGCAGGATGAAGCTGGTTCTGAGAAATTCAATCCAATTTTATCTATTAAGCAGTTAAAAACAACAACAACCACTGACCAAAGTGCTGTGAAGAAAAAAAAAAGGAAAAAATGAAACATAAAACAGTACAGATAAAAACAAAACAGCTAAAACTTTGGTAAAAATAGCATTTAAACAATCAAATCAATATGATTTGGCAAAAGATAAAAGGAATAAAAGATAAAAATTAAATAAAGTCCACTGTCTTGGTAGGTGTTAAATGTGGATTTTGACAAGAGATTTAAAAACAGTGAGAGAAGAGGCCTGTATGATGGTCTGAGAAGGTCATTCCTGAGCTTTGGATCTGCAGCAGAGAAAGAACGATTCCCTCTGAGCTTCTGCTTAGTTTTAGGCCCTCAGGAGCAGCTGACCCACTGTCCTGAGAGAGCCAGTGGGTCTATAAGGATAGAGAAAGCCCATTCAGGGATTTTAAATAAAATAAATTTAAAATAAATTTAAAATGTATTGCAGCCAGTGGTGTGAGGCTAAAATGGAGTAGGCATGCTCATACCTGCATGTGCCAATTAAAAGGTGTGCTGCAGCATTTGGAACCATCTGGAGATGGGAGAAGGAGGAGGCACTAACCACCACATGGAGAGCATTGCAATAATCCAGCCCAGTGGTAACAAAGGCCGGCATTAACGTTACAAACTGTTGTCTCGAAAGAATTGGCTTTATTTTGGCCAGCTGTCTCATATGATACAAACATGATCCAACAACAGGATGCAACTTTAAACCTCAGATTTGCATCAGCTTTTACTCCTATAGGTTAGTGATGACTGGTTTGATCTGCTGGGCCAAAGAGCCCAGATCTGTTCTAGTGGTGTCACCAAAAAAAACATCACTTCAGTCTTTCTTTCATTAAAATGTAAAAGTTCAGAGATACCCAGGCCTTTATGTCACATCATTAAGGCAGTAATGAAGTGATATACCTCCTTCTTTTTAAGAGGGGCATAGATTTGATTGTCATCTGCATAGCAATGGTAAAAAAAAACATGTTTTTTAAGTATGGATCCATGCAAATAGAGAACAAGAGAGGAGCCAGAACTGAGCCCTGAGGAACTCCACATGGGAGAGAGGCAGAGGAGGAAATAGAGTCAACAAGGCTGACACAGAATGTTTGGTCAGCCAAATATGATCTGAACCAGTTCAGAGCTACGCCCCTGATGCCCTAACCTGACCCCATCAGATGGATTTGCTCCGCATATCCATATGGAAACCTTCTGTATAAGTAATTTTGGGAAGGGGAGAAAATACTGGTTAGCTGAATGGCCTATGTTGGTGATAGACGGGCCAAATTAACCAATCAGTTCAACGAAGCATATGACGTACTAACAGAGCAACGACGAAGAGGAGCCAATTGATAGATCAAACTCTTGCCGAAACCAGTCGGGAGAAGAGCAAACACATCTTTTCCTCTGAGAAAAGCCTCCAGAGCAGTGTTTTGCTCTTCTTTCAGTGAAGAAATACTCTGTAATTCCGATAAAACTTGCTCGATAGCCTTGCTAACGCTAGTTTCATCGGCTGAAGGCGCCATGTTCTTTAGACTGAACTGTCGCGCTTCTCGTTGCGTCACGCCTCAACCCGCCTCAAAGCCAACGCTGATTGGACGTTCGTTTGGTGAACGGCTCCAAATTTTCTTTAACGGAAAGTAGCCAGACTGATCTGCGAGTGAAACCTTGAAAGTTTGCGAGATCAGGATGGTCTCACGAGGCTACCTGTTCCAAACCAGGCTTTTCGTCCCCAGTGTCGAATGCAAAAGCTAAATCTAAAAACACAACAATAACAGTTACTAGAGTATGTGATATAAATATAAATTGTTAAAAACTCGGATTCAGTGCAACAGCTAGGAAAACATTGCTCAGATGCCATGTTAAGCCATTGGACTGAGTCCGAACATCCGCCCTGACCACTGAGCCCTCCATCACTATATAGTGGACTTTAAAGTGAACTCAGTTAACTCACTGTTTGGACAGATGATCACTACTTTCGCTCCTCGTTGGTCACGTGATTCCAACTCCTATCTCCGGGATCTTTGTTCTTTCTCACCGCCACAACAAATCCTATGATGCTTTGCAAGGAGAGCTCTCGCAAAGCATTTTGGGATATATCTGCTCATCTATTGACCATGGATGATCACTACTTTAAAGGTGCATTGTGGGAAATTTGAAGTCCACTACTTTTTCATGCAATAGACATTCAAACACTCATTTAAAATGAAGTAATCACCAATTGTTAGGGCAGATATTTGGACACGGCCTCAGTCATGTTTCCACGCACTGTCACCTGAGGCCTGCCTCACATTTCTTAATATATATTATTACTGCTGATATAGTTTTGCTCTGCTGGTTGTGGAGAATGCTGCATTACCTGAAGCTCCCAAGGCATTCCTCAGCTCACTGAGTGACAGGGTTCCAGTCCGAGAAACATCAGTTTGAAAAAAAATGTCCTAAATAAAAGCAAACAAAGATATGAATGCAGTGCCCAGAAAAAAGTTTTTATACCAGTAACTTTTCTCTCTGCAACAGAGCAAAAAACAAAAAACATCTGATATTTATGAATTGGAGACAAAATGGAGGTTTTAAATTTTTTAAATCAGAGAAGTAGCCCAGTATTATTCCCCAGCTATCAACCCCCAGGTATCAACCCCCAGTATCAACCTCCAGGTATCAACCCCAGCATCAACCCCTCTTATCAACCTCCAGGTATCAACCCCCAGCATCGACCTCCAGGTATCATCCCTCAGCTATCAACTCCCAGCTATCACCCCCAAGAATCACTCCCAGCATCAACCCCTCTAATCAACCCCCAGCATCAACCCCTAGGTATCAACCCCCAGCTATCAACCGACAGTATCAACCCCCAGCATCAACCCCCAGCTATCAACCCCCAGCATCAACCCCCAGCTATCAAAACCAAGCTATCAACCCCCAGCTATCAACCCCAAGTATCAACCCCCAGCATCAACCCTTGGCTATCAACCCCAAGGTATCAGCCCCCAGTATCAACCCCCAGCTATCAACCCCCAGTATCAACCCCCAGCTATCAACTCCTGGCTATCAACCCCAAGGTATCAGCCCCCAGTATCAACCCCCAGCTATCAACCCCCAGCATCAACCCCCAGGTATCAACCTTTGGCTATCAACCCCAGGTATCAACCCCCAGTATCAACCCCCACCTATCAACCTTTAGCTATCAACCCCAGTTATCAACCCCCAGTATCAACCCCCAAGTATCAAACCCCAGGTATCAACCTGCAGGTATCAGCCCCCATTATCAACTCCCAGTATTAACCCCCAGCTATCAACCCCCAGTATCAACCCCCAGTTATCAACCCTTGGCTATCAACCCCAAGGTATCAGCCCCCAGTATCAACCCCCAGCTATCAACCCCCAGTATCAACCCCCAGCTATCAACTCCCAGGTATTAACCCCCAGCTATCAACCCCCTTTATCAACTCACAGTATTGACCCCCAGTATCTACCCCCAACATCAACACCCAGTCATCAACCCCAGTAATAACACCCAGTTTTAACCCCCAGCTATCTACCCCTAGGTATTAATTCCCAGGTATCAACCCCCATTATCAACCCTGGCTGCTGCTCTGTCTCTGACCTCAGAGGTTATTCAGAGAAAATTAGAGAACAATCATGAATCCTGCTGACAACTCAGGGAGGATATTCTGGTGCGGTTAAAAGCAGGATCAGGTTCATCTCAGAAACGGAAGACCTCAATCAATCCATCATCTGAAGATACCTTTAAATTATGTGTTAAATAAAAAGAATATAAAGCAGTTTTGAGCAGATCTTACCTTGTAAGTGATGACTTTGTTCCAGAGTCGGATAAACTCCTCACTGTTAAGTTTTCCTGTGATGGAGGTCTTTCAAGCAGATGGTCAAGAAAAACATATTTACATAAAAAGAGACTCATAACACTGAAAACTTAGGGGCTGTTTCATCAGCAACCTTAGGAAGCAATAACAACAGAAAGGAACCTTCACAAAAGGCCTCTAGGGTTCTAGCAGACCACAAACAGCTACATGTAATCTGACTTAACCGCACATACAGTATGCTACGTTAACATGCACAACATTTTCCCAATCTAATCTACACATGATCAGAATTTCTAAATCTCTGTTTACATGGAGACTAAGGCTGCGTTCCACTCCAGTGGCTTTGTCCTCCAAGGTCTACCTGGACTGAATCCTGGAAGGCCATAAAATAATGAGGCTGGAAGAGTTCAGCTATGGATACAAACAGGACCAGCCATCTCCGACATCCAACAGCTGTACACTCTGCAGCCCAGCAACTGTGACAGCTGACTCACAAAGCATGCAAAGAATGGATTCTGAACTTCTCACACAGCTGTTATGCGCCAATTTCATTTCTGATGAGAAATAATTTCTTCATGCTGTTTCTGGTTATCTTTTCATGGCTGTACAGGCCAGGCCGTACTTAATGTCAGCACATTGCCGTAAAACTCCACCAAAGCAACTTGGCTTTTTTCCTCTTAGTACCAGGCTGGTTCAGGGAAAGTCTTCCTTTAAATGAGTTTTATCACCTATTAATGCAAGAAAAATCTGAAAAGAACCCCTTATTCATGTTTAGATGAAGAATTATGCTCCAAGTGTTTGTTTCTCTGGGCACTACCACTTCCTGCTGGCAGCTTTTATCACTACACTGGAAACTTGAATGATGGGAGATATCGTCTAAATCTTTCTGCCTCTAGCTAGGAACCTTAGCATAGCACTGCTAACATTACTACTGTCAGTATTAACGAGGCTGGGTTCTCTGGCATTCATCCACTTGGCAAATCCAAATGCTTTGGCAGCCTTAGCTTCTGCTATAACAAATTAATTAAGTGCTTTGCATGTATTATCTTAGCAGATTCTTCTTTCTTTTCATACATCTGCTTACTGTTTCTGACCTGTTTGGCTTAATGGTTTCCCATACAGAAATAACATACATACAGTGGTCTGCAAAAGTTTGGGCAACCTTGTTAATTTCCATGATTTTCTTTCATAAATCGTTGGTTCTTAAGATTAAAAAAAATCAGTTAAATATATCATATAGGAGACAAATACAGTGATATTTGAGAGGTGAATCGAAGTTTATACCATTTACAGGATGTGTGCAATAATTGTTTGAACAAAATAAGGCATGTGCATAAATTTGGGCACTGTTGTCATTTTACTGATTTAAAAATCTCTAGAACCAATTATTGGAAATCAAAATTGGTTTGCGAAGCTCAGTGACCCTTGACCTACATACACAGGTAGGGTGGCCAGATGTCCGGCTTTAGGGCGGACAGTCCGGATTTTCATTGCACTGTCCGGCGTCCGGCGCTGCACCTAGCCAGACGTGTATTTGTCCTCCTTTACCCCCAGATTCCACATACTCCGTCAGCGCTCCGCCCCGCTCACGTACGGAGTACTTGTCTGTCATGTAAATCAATGAGAGCTGTTCCACATCCTCCGCTCGTCACCGCCCACGTACGTCTTCTCCGTCCTTCACCGTCAAAATACGGAGCTGAGCTATTTTTTGCAATCACACCAAACAGAAAAAAGAATGTAGAGAAGACCCGGTTTGTCAAATTAAATTATAGTAAAAACAGATCGGTAACTAGAAATTAGAGCATAGTTCGTATATATTCCCAAAAACTAAGAGCAATTAATTAAATAAGTTGATGCAGACTATTGGTGCTTCAACAGACCAGGAAGAAGTTGTGAGATTCTAGAGCGCATCTCACAACTTTAAAAGAAAATTCTTATTGCAGGAATGGATGAAGAGATGATGAGTTTGGAAGCAGAGAATAAACAGAGTTCATACAAACTATGTATGATCCTAGTTATCCCTGTTACAAAAATCAACAACAGAAAGAAAATATTTGGGCAGAAACTGAACATCTGCTGGATGATGATGGGGATTTTTTTAATATGTCAGATTAAATTAAGCGTTCACAGGTTTTATACAGGAATGAGGAACTCTAATTTAATGCTCTTTTAATGCTATTAGAAATAATTTTAATGCCATCAACAAGTATCATGTACACAAGTTATTAGTTTACATGAAATAAGGAGCTGTAAGCACAGTTCCATGACTCAAGTTTATATATATATATATATATATATATATATATATGGATAGATAGAGAACATGGTGAAATCATCTTTACTCTCAACAGGCTGCAGCCATGTCATGAATTCCTCTTTTCCAGCCACTTTTTGCAGTTTGCATCGTCCTATTCTCTAGCTCTTTCTCGAGCTTCTTTTCCAAACAACTGCTTTATGATCAATTGCAGCAGTTCTGCGCAAATTAATCGTGTTAAAAAATGGTCACTTTTTAAACACCACAATGTATTAAATAAATACAAATGCTGGGAACCAATTCTTTTTTACATTTCTTTAATATTTTGTTCTATTCAGCTACACAAGCATCCTCTTTAAACTACTAAGAATTGTGCTATAAATGTGACTTTACCCGATTCTTATGTACACCTTAGTAATTTATTGATATGCCGCACAATGTCCTCCTTTTTGGTGCTATAGAAATGGCCACCCTATACACAGGTGAACCCAATTATGAGAGAGTATTTAAGGGGGGGCAATTGTAAGTTTCCCTCCTCTGTGAATCTTCTCTGAAGAGTAGCGACATGGGAGTCTCAAAACAACTGTCAGGTGACCTGAAAACAAAGATTGTTCACCATCATGAATTAGGGGAAGGATACCGAAAGCTGTCTAAGAGATATCAGTTGTCTGTTTCGACAGTTAGGAACATAGTCAGGAAATGTAAGACCTCAGGCACAGTTCAAGTTAAGGCTTGAAGTGGCAGACCAAGGAAAATCACGGATAAACAGAAGCGAAGAATGGTTAGAACAGTCAAAGTCAACCGACAGGCCAGCACCAAAGACATACAACATGATCTTGCTGCAGATGGAGTCATTGTGCATCGTACAACTATTGCGCGCACTTTACACAAGGAGATGCTGCACGCAAGAGTGATGCGGAGGAAGCCTTTTCTGTCATGCATGGAGGAAAAACAACACAGCATTCCTAGAAAAACACCTGCTGCCTACAGTAAAATTTGTTGGTGGTTCCATCCTGCTGTGGGACTGTGTGGCCAGTGCAGGAACTGGGAATCTTGTTAAAGTTGAGGGACGCATGGATTCCACCAAATATCAATAGATTCTGGAGACCAATGTCCAGGAATCAGTGACAAGGCTGAAGCTGCGCCGGGGCTGGATCTTTCAACAGGACAATGACCCTAAACACTGCTCAAAATCTACTAAGGCATTCATGCAGAGGAACAAGTACAACGTTCTGGAATGGCCATCTCAGTCCCCAGACCTGAATATTATTGAAAATCTGTGGTGGGACTTAAAGAGAGCTGTCCATGCTCGGAAACCATCAAACCTGAATGAATTAGAGGTGTTTTGTAAAGAGGAATGGTCCAAAATACCTCCAACCAGAATCCAGACTCTCATAGGAAGCTATAGGAAGCATTTAGAAGCTGTTATTTCTGCAAAAGGGGGATCTACTAAATATTGAGTTTTTTTTTTTTATTGTGGTGCCAAAATTTATGCACATGCCTAATTTTGTTTAAACAATTATTACACACTTCCTGTAAATGGTATAAACTTAGTTTCACTTCTCAAATATCACTGTGTTTGTCTCCTATTTGATATATTTAACTGTTTTTTTTTTACCCTAAGAACCAACGATTTATGAAGGAAAATCATGGAAATTAACAAGGTTGCCCAAACTTTTGCAGACCACTGTATGTAGTAAGTACGCACAGTGTGCTTTGTTTACCGACCACTAGAGCAACGGTTGAACTGATTAACTGTATGTAACCATAACAAGCTACTAGCAGGTTAATTAAGTCATTATCATATTTTTTTTGTTCAGTTTATCTTTGTCTGATCTAAATAGTTCTAAATGAAAATGCGAGAAGCCTGCTGTCTTGTTAGAGCAGGTCGTATACTCAGCTTTAGAGCAGGATACATCCATGAGAGCCACCATGCTCCTGCATGCGTCGATGCTGAAGCCTTCAGATATCAGGTCTTCTAAAGGACAGAAAGAAGAACAGCCATTAACAGGGCTAGAGTCTCATGGTGATGCACAGAGACGTATTTCAAGATCGAAACCTTTCAGAAGCTTCTCATTTAAAATCCTCTGGACCTGCTCAGCATCCACTTCTTCATACTGGAGAAAAGAAATGATACTGAAGATATGAAATGTTTTAGAGGTCAGATTTAATCACAGCATGTCCACAGCTTGGCTGAAACATCATGGCTCAGAACATCCCAGCAGAACCAACTGTTTCATGTCACTCTGAGTCATTGTGTTTGCGTCACATCCAAAACAAGCTGATGTTCAAAATAAGAATCTACCTTGTCTGAATATTGGCGAAACAGAACTTGTTTTTTTTCATCCAGCTGCCTGATCTCCAGCTTCATCGTCTGAAAGACAAACACGTTAAGCCTCATTCGTCTCATAAAAGGGCAAACAGTATGTCATGATCGGTCACCTACTTTCTCAGATGGTTTAGATAAGATCTCACCAGAGTTTTCACTTGGGAAGAAGACATTTCTTCTAATTAGAAGCTAAAAAAGTATAAAACAACACATATAGATGCAGAGAGTAGAGACATACTAGCAGAGGGTCTCTGTCCTGCAGTGAATGGTCAGGATGAATGAAGATGTCTCATTGGGATTGAAGGTGGACGGCACGATCACGTATTCCCCAGGCATCAGAGTGAGGAACTCCATCACTTCACGCGCGTTAATGAAGGTTTTAGTTTGGGCAGCAGGTTTTTGGGCGCTGAAGAAGGAAGCTGGAAATTTTCCTTTGTGGGGCTGATCCTGTGGCACCACAAGGGCATCTCAGAAACTAATCTCATTGAATGTAAATGTTGTGGCAGTTTGGACGGGTCCTACCTTTTCCTTCACCTGAGAGCAGATCAGTCAGAATGTTGGAAAGAGCAAAGAAATGCTTCCATCAGCTGGTTTTTAAAATTAAAACACAAAATACAGCTAAAATACAACCAAATGGTACTTCCAGCATCCAAAAAAGGATTCTATAGGATACTTACACGCTATCCAGGACATCTACATATAATATCAGCTATCTACTGTATACTAGGGTTCACTGCAGTAATCAAAGGTACCCATTATGGCACATACCAGACATTAATGGGGATGTAACTACATGCTAACAACAGATTGCCTACATGGTAGCTGCTGTATATTTATGAATATTAGTATGTAATGCTTTTACAGGATCCAACAGCAGCATATAAACAGAACAGGCTGTAATACCGGTAGGGCCTTCGTGAAGGGGAGCAGAACCAGAGTTGTTGTTCAACTTGCAGCAGAATTTTTACTTTATAGGAAAGCTGTGGATGTGTTTTTATGTCTTCTTGTCAGGTTGAGCCTTTGGCTCTTGGTTCTGGCCTGTTACATTTTTAGTTGGATTTTTGGATTTTGCCTCTGTTATTATTGTTTGCATTAAAACTACATGAAATAACCTCTCTGCCTTTGCATTTGGGTCCTCTAAAACCAGCGGTCCCCAACCACCGGGCCGCGGACCGGTACCGGGCCGCGGACCGGTACCGGTCCGTCGGTCATTTGGTACCTGGCCGCACTGAATAATTTATCGACGATCAGAGTCTGAGTGATGTTTTATTTTAAAAAATATAAAAAAATTGCGGTATTCTCTCCCAATTACATCAGTCGGTGCATCTGTGCCTCTTGACACAGGTTAAGACTCATCCTATCTATAACATACTATCTTTGTGAAGCGGGATTTTCTGCGGTTACAGCGACCAAAACAAAGCTACGGAGCAGTATGGACATCAGGAGGACACTTCGTGTGTCATTGTCTCCGATTACGCCTCGATGGGACCGGCTTGTTTTATTTTTATGCTGTTTATATTTGATTTTATGCCAGTGGTATCATTTTACTTGATCGTATTTACCCGCCTGCCAGTCCGTGCGGGGGTTGGGGGGTTGGGGGGTGGGTGGGGGTTTGATTTGAATACGATCAAGTAAAGTTGTCTGACATATATCGGTCCGTGGTGCAAAAAAGGTTGGGGACCGCTGCTCTAAACCACAACCAAGACGTGACAGATAGTAAAGAATTACAATAGTCCAGCCTTATAATAAATGCATGGACTAGTTTCTCAGCATCAATCCTGGACAGGAAATTTTTAATTTTTGCAATATTCCTTAGATGAAAGAAGGAAATTCTAGAAACCTCTTTGATATGGGATATAAATGACAGGTCCTGATTAAAAACAACACCAAGACTTTTTACTTTATTATCAGAAATCAGTTTAATCCCATTCAAATGAATTGACTGGCTAATCAGCTTCTTTTTCAAAGACTCTGGTCCAAAGACTATAACTTCTGTTTTGTCTGCATTCAGAAGCAGAAAAATGGACCCCAACCACCTAATGACCAATATGTCCCATTTTAACAGGGCAGTATTTAAACACAGAAAGCTTTAGAGCCCTGCAGATTGTGCAAAACCCTGCTGCTTGTATTTTCAGCAAAGCAGGGAAATATCTGGTTGCCTCTTTGGTGGCTTCCTTGTTAGGTTTGAGCTGATTTCAAGGTGCCAACCAACACAAGTTATCATAGAAGAATTGTATTAACATACTTCTGCCCCTTGTTCTCAGGAAACTATCTTTGTGATGGTCCTGAAAATGAACAAACATTTTCATTTCAGGGACCGGAGCTGGACTCCTCTGGATCTCAGACAGGCAGGTAATTTAGAGGCTTTTAGAGCTAAAGATCAGCCTATTCTCCAGTTGTTCTGATCTGTTTTATCTGTCTATTCAGCACTTTGATTTAAATCTTTTCACAAATACAGTTGCTATAGCAAGCTCAGGTTCTGTGAAAACATTTGGGGGTGGTCTACTTCCTGTAATAGTAATGCTTCCATTTGGAGCTAGTTGCATATAAAGAGTCCAGCCTAGAGAGTAGATATTGTGGTTTCTGTTTAGTTTAACTTAGTTAAACAGGCCTTTACCTCAAAAACCGTGAACCCAATGTGGAAGTTTTGCACCAAGTGTCTGTTTCTCTTGTCAGGTTTCTGCATGAGAGACACCAGTATGTTTTTCGCAGCAGTTCTGGTTGAAATTTCTTTCCACACCTTGATTCGGAACTGTGGATTGGTCCAGAAGGTCTCTAGAAGATAAAAGAGAGAAGAAGTGGAGTATTGAGGATGGATTCTACTGGTTCCTCTACTTAACACTCTGTTAGTGGTGATGTGGTGGTTTAAAACTGAGGTTACACGGATCTCTACGGATCATGCTTCCCTGCAGCTGGACTCAGTCATGTTGGATCAATCACTTCCTTTGAGCCTCTATCTTTCACTGATTCTTGAAACTTTTTTCATGAATAAAAAGAGTCAAGGTTATAATCAGGGGGGTCCTTTGCACATGTGTAAGGTTCTTTTAAAGGCTTGTTTTTTATTAAATTAATTTTATGATTATATGCTGGTCCATTGCCTTCAAAATCAGTTGTCCTTGGATAGGAGATAATCATTTCAACTTGATAAAAAAAAACAAGAAGTAATAACTGAATTGAATAACATCTTTACCAAATGAAACAGTACATTGTAATAAGTATTTAAAGCTATAAAAAGGGAGTTTTGAACAATATTTACTATTATTTTGTGATTGCTCAAAATGTGTCCCATAGATTTGTTAGACATTTATAAAAAGCAATAAAATCAGGCAATTAAAAAGTTCAACTAAATTCCTGATGACCCCATTTTCAAATCTTCAGCTTTACTGTATGCTTCAAGTTCACTCAAGCTCTTGTAAGTTTGCTATTTTCTCTTAAACTTGTTCATATTTTTGGACACTGCTAATGTCAGAACCATAACATGTCAACATGGTATCTTTTGTATAAGAAATATTAGATTAGATTATAACATAAATGTTTCATTTTTAAGAAGAGATGTAAAGTAGCAAAAAACAGAGGAGAAACAAGATGGCTAATGTGAACAACTGATGCATATCATGTGAAAGAGTAGGTTTTTGTAAACACCGTCAGACGTCACCACCATCAGGTTTTCTGTCTGACCTGGGCATGTCGTCATTCAACCGCTGGTTGTCTAGGTGGTGCCCTGAAAACAATGTGGGCTACATTAATAATTGGCAATCCTTTTGGGGAAAGCCTGGTCTGATTCGGAGAGACGGCATCCATCCCACTTTGGATGGTGCAGCTCTTCTTTCTAGGAATCTGGCCACATTTATTATTCCTCCAAACCCCTGACCACCCAGGGTGCAGACCAGGAAGCAGAGTCGCAGTTTAACACACATCTCTGCAGCTTCTCTACTGTTACCCACTCTTTACTCCATCCAGACAGTGTCTTGCCCACGACCAAAATCTAATAAATTAGCAAATATTCCCAAAGGAGTAAATCATGATAATCTAATTAAAATTAAAATAACTCTAATTGGGGAAAAAGTTCAAAAGATTAGATGTGGTCTGTTTAACATAAGATCTCTTTCCTCTAAAAGTCTGCTAGTTAATGACTTGATTTGTGATAATCACATTGACTTATGTTGCCTTACAGAAACCTGGCTGCAGCAAGAGGATTATGTGAGCATAAATGAGGCAACTCCTTCAAGCTATTTCAATTTTCACATACCCAGAAGTTCTGGGCGAGGAGGAGGAGTAGCAACAATCTTCCAGTCTGACTTACTGATTACTCCAAAGGAAGTTAATACCTACAACTCTTTTGAACATTTAACCCTTAATTTCCCTAATCCAAATTGCAAAGCAAGAAAACCTCTTATTTTTGTGACTTTGTATCGTCCACCAGGTCCTTACTCTGAATGTTTAGATGAGTTTTCAGAGTTCCTTTCTGATTTGGTATTAAATACTGACAGGGTCATCATAGTGGGAGATTTTAACATCCATGCTGACATTGAAGGCGATAGCTTAAGAGCAACCTTTAATGCTATCTCAGACACTATTGGCTTTGTTCAAAATGTGAATAGTCCCACACATTCTCATCTTCATACTTTGGATCTTGTGCTGACATATGGCATAGAATGTGAAGAAATAACAGTATGTCTGTTTTACAAAATAATCCATGGTCTGTCATCTCGTCCACTCAGTCAGTTTGTGACAATCAGGAACACACCAACAGTAACACAAGGGTTGGCTAGAGGAGACTGTGTTGTTCCTCTGCGTAAAAGTGCTTTTAGTGGTATCATTAACAAGCCATGCTGCCACTTGTGTCTCTGCTGTGTGTATGTATATATGTGTATGTGTATAATGTGTTTGTATGTATGTATGTATATGTATATATGTATGTATATATATTTATATATACATAGTTTAAATGTTTCATTCTATTTTATGAACCTCTGTATTCCAGCGAACACTTATTCTGTATTTTTAAATCAGTTTTAAGGAGTTATAGCTGTTTTTATTTCTTTAAATATTTGTATTTTTCATTGTAGAATGCTTACTGTTGTGTTTTTATAAATGACGAGGTTGTGCCGGTACATAGCTGAACAGCAAAGACCTTGGTCTATAACAATATACCTTCAGATTTTGTAATTTAACAAACTTTTTATTTTCAAAATTAAAACCCATTTTATCCAAATTCCTAAGAATCAGTACCTCATTAGAATGACAAAGCATTTGTTTTGCTGGAGTCTAAACATTTTTTTTTTTACTTCTAGCAGTTTAATCCTCTGATTGAGTGTCTCCTGTGCAGTAACCCCATAGCTCCACCCCCACTCAGGCCTTGGTTAATGCTTAGCTCATTTTCTTCATAGTTTGTACACATTTACTCTCTATTCTGAAACCTGTGCCATATTTTTTTTATTACTGCATGTTATATGGGGATTATATTATTGCATAAGGAAGCATTTAATGAGCACTGATCCAAAGTCCGTGCCTGAAAGATAAACTCCATTGTCATTGGCAATTAGAGCTTTGTCATGCCTCTATTTAAACAGATATTCAGTCAAACTGAAATTTGAACTTTAACTGTTTTTCATTGGGACATTTGTGGATTTTTTACACTACAATGTGAAGTATTTATCCCCTTTAAGTGACAGAGCAGTGCAGAAAAAAAGATGTAGAGGGTAAACTTCCACCAAAGTCTCTTGCTGCAAAACAAGCACAAGGGGGCAATAGAGGATAATTAAAGAACCCAGTACTGGTAGAAATGGACTACAAAGACACACAACACAAATAAACTTAAAAATAAACCCAAGCAGAGGGCAGAACCCTGACAGAAACATCCATTCATCCATGTTCTCCAGCTTAGGCATGTCAAGGTGATGATGGAGCCAGCGCCTATCTAAGGCAGCCTATGGGTGAGAGGTGGGGTGAACTTAGACAGGTTCACCCCACCTAGGGACCGGCCACCGGCACCGCCAGGTCCGCAGTCTTGGAATTATTGGATTTGAGTGCTATGTTTAAATGTGCGTCTGTGTTTTTTTTTCTCTTTACGCTCCCTCTCACAAGAACATCTCTCTGCTAAGTGCCGTGCCCATTCCCCCCATCCTGCCCTGCCACAGCTGGCTGGCGCCTGGGCTCGCTGGCGCACTGGTGGGGCTCTGTGTTTGGGGGTGGATGCCCGGGTGGGTACTGGTTTATTCTTGGCGGCCTCTCAGCGATGCCTGTGCCCCGGGGTCCGGCCAGGGCTCCGGTAGAGGGGTGGGGCATGCCTTGGCCCTCGGGTCCCTGGGCCCATGGCTGGATCCACTTCAGGGTGGCTGGCTGCCAGCGGAGCCCACGGACTCGTTCCCGGGGGCGCCAGCATTTCAGTGGCTGGGGGATTTCCTCTGGGTTGTCTGTCCTCCTCCCTTGGAGGGGGACAGAGGGGGGGGGGGGGTTTCCTTGGTTGGCCTCTCCTGTTCGCCTTGGCTCCTGGGGTCCCTCTGTGCGTCTGGGGCTTTGGGTCCCTTGGGGCTCGCCTTAGTGCTCTGGAGGGGCGCGTCTTTAGTTCTTCACAACCACTATTGAGCATTTCTTCTTTGGATAAACTTTACATGCACAAGTGCACCCTCACAAACAAGTACATGTGCTTGTTTCCAGGTACTTACAGATTCATTTCCATAAAGAAAGCACATATTCCTATCTTCAACTACCACAGCATACAGTATAATACTACTTATACTTCAACGATATTATCTAGGTGTTACTTTATTGTATGTCTCATACCATGTCCGTTGGTTGTGCTGTTCTTTTATATCTCTTTCCAAGTGATAAGGCAGACAGAATATGTTTCATCATTATCTCCCTTTTATCTCCTCTTTCTTTAAAATTTTATCCTTTTTTCTTTTTTTCTTTTCCTGTTCTACCTACATTGCAGAGTCCATATAATCTGTAATACTCCCTGCATAATTATAGTAAAGCTATTTATATGCATAAAGCAAGCAGAACACTATGGCAATAGCCCTACTGCTCCACATGTGAAATTAAAATCTGTTGAGCTCTTTTTTGGCATCAAGGCAATTATTCTTATTGCAACATCGCCAGACAGGACACTGTTAAAAAAAAAAAAAAAAAGAAAAAGAAAAAAAGACAGATAGCCAGTCTGTCGCAGGGCAACACAAAGACACAAAGCCATGAACACACACACACCTAAGGACAATTTAGAAAAGCCATTTAACCTAACAGTTTTTGGATTGTGGGAGGAAGCTGGAGCCCATAGAGAACATGCAGAAAGACCCAGGGCCGGGAATCGAACCAGGAACCTTCTTGTTGCAAGGCAGCAGTGCTAACCACTGCAGCATTGTGCAGCCCAAAATGTGAAACAATCTTAGCTAATTTGTTGACAAAAGCTTTGGACAGTTATATGAATTAAAAACTGACAAAGAAATAGAAATTTGGTAGCATATTCAAGTTGATAGCGTTATTAGTATGTTATTATATAAATTATTATAGTGTAATAGATCGTATTTCACTTATATTGAGGCTGAGCAGAACAGAAGTACTTGGGTCTGTTTTTCTGCATCATTAAAATGGAATCCTTCACATTTTTTATGTTAAGTTCCAATCAGAAAAGGATTCAAACATGTTTAAAAATCTTGTTCAACCAGTGGGATTTGAGACAAAAAGTAAAAGGTTGTTGGCATAAAGTCCTACTCCCTTCCTATGTTCACCAGTAAGAAGGGATGAGCTCTATGTGGCAATGAAAAGTGGTGCAATGGGAACAGCAATGATGATACTGACCATCTTTGGCAGCATTTGCATGTTAAAAGTTGGAATTAGTTCTTACACTTGCAATTAGGGCATTGCATGGAAATTTGTTCCACCAAATAAACTTTGGGCAAAAGTTAAGTAGAAATATTCCCTCTCCACTCTGTGGAAGGCTTTTTCCTCATCTTGTGATTCAGGTTTGAACAGCATGAGGTTTAGCAAGTGGCGTTCTTTGGAGGAGATTTGGGTTTGGTAAGCAGAGGTCGAGGGGCCAGTTAAGGTTTCAGCCAGTGGTTTGATGTCACCATTAGCAAACAAACAGGTTGCCAGCTGCTGGCTTTAGGATGAGTGATATTGATGCTTGAGGTAAAGTCAAAGGAAGGGTGCCAAGTTCAAAGGAGACATTAAACATGTCAAATAATCTGGGAGTTAGCTGGTCAGAGAAGGTCCTGGCTTTAACTGCCATCTAGTTTTTCTGGAATTAGCAACAACTGAGAGGAAGACTAATTGATCAAATAATTGGTTTGTTGACATGGTCTGATTAGGCTTTCTACAGTAAGTAATCAGATTACCTCTATTATTCATGCAACCTCCAGCTGTTGTTCCTGCGACCCACCGACCCTCAGCTATAGAGCTCCTCCAGAGGCCAGAGGAATCTTCATCCAGGAAGTCTGGATTCAGACCGCACAGGTCCAGCTCTGTGTAGAATTCACAGAGATCCTCCAGTGTCATCCTGTGACAATATATTAATCATTTCAACTGAACATAGGCTTAAATGTAAACTTTCATAGGAAAAATTATTTTCCTATTAAAGGTTTTATGAATGATTTGCCCTGATTTACTTACCAAAACTCCCCATCTTCAGCCACTGAAAGGCAGTTTTCCCGGTCTTGGGGGCTCACAGTTTTCCATATTGAAGACCTGTCAGAGACACTACTGGTTATTTATTTACTGCTTAGGCCCCAGAGTTTTCAGGCAAAATTAAACGCAGTTTTATTAATCAAATGTCTGATCACTCTGGATTTGTTCTCACTGATCACTCCAATCTCCGTTCCACTCCCCCTTTCCCCAGGGATTCCACAGACGCACTATTTTCACAGGTTTCCCCCTGCTCATCACCTGAGCAACAACACAAAATCCATCACTATCATAAACTCAGTTATTTAATAGAGGAAAATAACTCTTATGTAAAGATCTGATCATGTATGTTGGCGTCTTCACCTGTATGACACCCGTCACCGTGTAAGCGTGGCCCTGAACCAGCCCGTTGGGGCATAAGCTGAGAGAGGAGGACTCCTGAAAATAACAAATCAACAACAGAAAAGTAAACAGCAGTAAATTAAATCAAAGAAAACTAACTGAACTTTTGGAGGTGCACATTATTAAAATCTTAAAAGCATTGTTTATATGTAGGTTTCTTGGTTACCCCTTTTGGTGTACTACAGCCCATCAAAGCACCAAAGCGTCCAGCCCTAGACATTGACTCCCACAGGTCTGAAGGAGGATCGGACAGCTGGATACACATATGGACACCTCCAGTGAAGTCCACCATAGCCTCGGCAAGAGTTCCAGCATTCATGTCAGCATAGGAGCCACAAACCCTCATGGTAGAAAGTGGGAAAAATGCTAATTTAGTGCAAAAGCAAAGAGCCAGAACAGCAGAATATTAGAAAGAATGAGTGAATGTACTTGGCATATGCTTTCTCAAGGAGGGAGGGCCAGAACTCATTCTGTTTCTTTGACTGAACAAAGATTGGTCTTCCATTAATAGTTGGCAGTTTGTCATCGATTACAACATCCACCCACTTTCCAAATCTCCAAAACTAAATTCAAAAAAGGATTGGAAAGAAAGCTTTATTAGCTGAAAAATACAAATGTGTGATCAGACGTTTTTATGAGAATTTGGTACTCATGTCAAAGAGATGATGTATTAATGGTTTTTAATCATTTTTTCCTGAGCAACTGTAGATTAAAACATGATTGATTCAGTTCATTACATGAACAAACTGAAATCGGTCAGATCCTTTAATTCCTACAAAATGTTCTTTTTTAACAGAATATTATGATCAACTGGAACAAACGCAGCACTGAGATCCAACAGGACGAGCACAGATACAAGTCCATTATCTGAGGCCAGGAGAATATCATTAGTGACTTTACCCAGAGCTGTTTCAGTGCTATGATGAGCTCTAAAGCCAGACTGTAACTCTTCAAAAAGTTCATTATGGTGAAAGTGATCGCACACTTGTTTGGCAACTAATTACTCAAGAGTTTTAGATAAGAAAGGAAGATTGGATATAGGTCTATAATTGACCAAGTCATCTGGGTCAAGAGACGGTTTCTTAAGCAAAGGTTTAATTCCAGCAACCTTAAAAGCCTTTGGTACATATATCTCTGTTACAGAGATAGATTAATCACATCTAAAACAGAGGAGAAGATCAAAGGGAATATCCCTTAAATAACCTGGTTGGAACTGGATCTAACATACAAGTTGAAGGCTTAGTGGCTTAGTAAATGGATCAAAGCAGTCTAAACCCATTTCAGATTTTTTGGCTGCCTCAGATGCTGCCCCACCCTCAAGAGACAAACGAATTATAGATAAAGTTGTGTTAATTTTCTTATTTTTAATGGAATCAATCTTATTTATAAAGAATCCTATAAAATAATTCCTGCTAAAAGCAGGTGGAATGAATGGTTCAACTAAGCTATGGCTCTGGGTAAGTTTGGCAACTATATTAAATAGATATCTACCATTATTCTTGTTGGATATCGTTTTAATACCGTCAGATGCTCAGAAGCTCACGAGGCGCTGCTACAGCTGCTCAAAATGATGCAAGTCATCCATTGACTTTGCATGTAAACTAGCTGCACCAAAGCAATAGACGCCTTGTTCAGTCCCACGTCAGGCTATGAAAAAAGACCCCAGAAACAATCCAGCATCTCACAGCAGGGTGTAGCCCTCTGACAGGAAAGGAATACATGAACCATCATTACCAAGGGGCTGGGATAGTGAACCTAATCCAAACTTGCTGCCAACCAACCGGACATTATGATCATTGATCAGCAGCAGAGGATGGCCATAGTGATTGATGTGGCCATTCAAGATGATGGAAACATCAGGAAAATAACATGAGAAATTGGAGAAATACCAAGGCCTCATGGGAGAACTAGAGAGAACCTGGAAGGTCAAGGCAATTGCTGAGGTCATAGTCATTGGAGCACTGGGGACAGTAACCCCCACAATTGAGAAAAGGCTCCAACAGAAACCGGAAGGAAAACCAAGGATCTCAGTCCAAAAATTTGCAGTTCTAGAGAGAGCTATTGAGAGGAACTCTCAGACTTCCAGGGCTCTGGTTAAAGGATCTGAACTGGAGATGAAGGAGTCACCCACCCCAAACCCATCAACCCATCAACCACTGTTAAATGAGGAAGTTATGTCCTCTAAAAAGCTGTTGTGCCTCAGGGCTTCCTCATGGTTCTTTTCCTGGGAGCAAGTTATTTACTATTCTTAACTCAAACTGGGAAAAACCATATAAAAAAGGACTAAAAAACAGGAGTAAAAAAGTAACAGAGTTTATTCCAGATCAGGTCGTTACAGGACAGAGAAAAATGCTTAGAGCTTGCACAGCTGTGGGCTCAAAAACCATGTCCGCGAGCGTCCGACAAAGAATGAGCCCCGAATAAGGTAATCTCCTGCTTCTTATAGCTCATGAGTCTATGTGTTGCATCAGGTGGATGCTTAGCTGTCCGTATCAGAAACTGACACGCCATCCATGCCTTGAACTTCATACAGCTTGCCTCTATGCCTCAGGGTTGGATGAGAAACTGCTCCATTGAACATAGACTTGATCGGTATATATCTGATGGATGATGAAGGGGAACTCTCTGCCAGTA